AAACTAGCATATATCTCTAAAATAGGATTTCAGATTAAGACAATACAATATAAAAAAGGTTGAGGATCGCCAACAACTGAAGGTAGATCATACTAGGGACCATGGGGACCAATACATAAAGACATTTATAAAAGAAAACAAAATATTACAGGTAGTTATGACCCGTCCTTTTGGCACAAAAATGAAAAACTGTTTACAAAATATGTATTATTCGGCTTGACCATTATGGACATTTGAAAATGTGCGTTATCAATGTGCCATTTCAGAGATGAGCGTCATTTGTAAGTTTTATAACATTGGTAACACTGAAACTTCATCATCTTGTGTTGACTTTCGATATGCTCTTTCAGATATAATTTGGAAACTGTTACTTTGCAAGGACATTCAACATGACTTTCTCCCTTGTTACCAGCTTTACTCTCACATAATTTTTGGTGAGGTTGGAGATCCTTTCTATTTCCATATTTGGCATTGCACCAAGTGCATTGCTTAGGTTTCAAATCGTGATGCCTATGTATGTGGCTTTTGTAGTTCCACAGCTGGTTAACTTCTTTTCACATACGTTGATCATGAAGAGCCACTGATCCAAATGGATCCTTTCAAAGGCTTCGCATATGTTCTCGTCACGATATGGCTGCAATATTGCCGATGTGACGTTAAATAATAACTCACTCACTCACTCAAAGGCTTCGCGCATGATTCGCATATTAGATTCTGCTGGGGTATTTTAGTGGGTGTGCTTCTTGTCAGGCTGCTTGTGTGAAGTGAGATGCACGATTCGTCAATTGCTTCAACGTTCATTATTCTGTGAGGTAAAAATGTACTGTAATGTTCTATATACAGTGTAGGTGTAGTAAAGAAGATTTGATAAAATATTCATTTACAAAAAAAATATATATTAAAAATATTTCAGCAGATTAAAGATGGGGAAAAAAGACACATTGGACCAAATATACCATTCAATACACAGCTGCAAGGTCCTACCTCCAGTTGATAAATTAGACGAAACCAGCTACCCGTACAATACTTTATCAACAACTCGTACAGTTGATTTGTTGACATTAGGAACTACCGTACAGTTATTGTTTTTGTGAATATCTAAGTTTGTATGTATTGACAGAACCTAAAATCTTGACACAGCAGCTACATAACTTAGCCTAAAAAAACACAATACGTGAAATGAATTCAATTGATAATGGTTTAAAGACGTTGAAAGTGGTCGAGTTCTCGGCTTTTTCCTATTCACGCCAAAGGACGTGTCCAGTAATGGTGCAAATGTCAATAAAATATAATGTGTCATGACCATATGATATAGGGGTTATTACCCATGACCATTCAGCTTATACGACAAGTCGATTTCATAAACATTTACTACTTGGAAATATCAAATTCTTATGAAGTTTGGATCTCACTCTCTTCCGGGATCGACTGCCTATCGGGGAAATGGTAGTTGATGACGGCGAACTTCCGGTTGAGCATAGACAGGGCTTACCCCCTATGTTATGTAATCTTATGATTACGCACTAGTCTTACACACCACCTGTGATAACCTTATTATTTACTGTCCTTTGGTGACAGTAATGAACATTGTACATATACATTGATTATTTACATTTTTACTCTTTTGCGAAATGGCAGAAATACTGCCACCGTGACTCACTCACTCACTCAACTCTACACAATATCCATAAATAGCTTTCCAAAAGACTGAGTAATTCAGTTTGATGCGCAAATAATCTGGCCCATGAGTCACTGCCTTTTGACAAGGGCTCTGTCTCTATCTATCAATATAAATCCAAAATGCTACCACAGGTCGTCACGTGGGATCAGCTACCAGCGTCCCTAAGCACTCACTAACACCCACTATACACGCGCGTGTTATGAACTCAGTATCGTGCAATTTTAGCACATATATTGTTATGGACGTGGAAAGTGTTTTGTTGCTTTTGTTTATCATTATCCTTTTGGAACAAAGTGCGTGTGGCTTTTAGTTATGTTCCAAAATCCATCTTTCAAAAACGTCATCCATGTAAACACCTCTTATTGGGTAGGACCCGTGAAGGTCCGGGTTAGAATATTGATCTTCAGTAGCCTATGCTTGTCATAAGAGGCGACTAACGGGATCGGGCGGTCAGGCTCGCTGACTTGGTTAACACATGTCATCGTATCCCAAATGCGTAGATCGATGCTCATGTTGTTGATCACTGGATTGTCTGGTCCAGACTCGATTATTTACAGACCGCCGCCATATAGCTGGAATATTGCTGAGTGCGGCGTTAAACAACCAACCAACCATATGTGCTGACCTTACGTATGGTCCCGGTGATCTATTGCCCATTTTGATGTTATGTTTTACTAATATTAATATTCTAATGATTAGTTACCAGTTTTAAATGTCTGCCTGTGATATCTGATTTCGATTTATGTACTGAAGAAATGAATGATTGAAGGAATATCTTTATTTCCTCCAGATTACAATCCGAAGAGCATATACATACAAACATCAAACAAGCTAACAAAGCAATATTTTCTGGAAATTGTTTTCAAAAAAAGATGGGAAGAGTAAATTGTAAAGACTTGTTTAAGATTTTTGACTGTATGGTTTCACCTATTTTGTGTTATGGGTCTGAGATTTGGGGTACTAACTATTGTAGCATCATTGAGTCTGTTCAGGTAAAATATGGTAAATATTTCTTGAAAGTTGGTAAATCTACCTGTTATAACATGGCACTTGGTGATTGTGGCAGACTTCCTCTACAAATTACATATATGACTAAAGTAATTAAATACTGGTGTCACCTATTGTATATACCTTATAATGGACTGCCAAAACATTGTTATATTATGCTCAAGATGATGTTGGCGCACTACTTGGGCAACTTGTGTCAAAAATATTTTATTTTAGTATGGTTTTGGCTATGCATGGATCAGTCAGGATGTTGGCAATGTTGATTATTTCATATCCTTGTTTAAGCAGAGACTTTCAGATAATCGTAAACAATGTTGGTCCACTTCAATTCAAAATTCTAATAACTGTTTTTATTACTCCCAAATTAAGACATTTTTAAATGTGGAAAGGTATTTAAATTCTGATATTCCTTTACATCTCAGATCTGCACTCTCTAAATTTAGATGTGGTAATTTTAATTTAGCTGTTGAAACTGGAAGATACAATAAAGTTAATGACAATGAGATATTATGTTTATTGTGTAATTTGGATGACAAAAATGTTATTGAAGATGAATTCCATGTACTCCTTAGGTGTGAAGGTTTTTCCGATTTGAGGTTAAGATATATTCAGAAATATTTGACTGATTTTGATCCAAATGCCAATTTTTAAACATTATGAAAACTCATAATGATCATAAGAGATGTTAGTATTTTTCTGTATCATGTACTTCAGCGCATTATAAATGTTCCTCTTACACAGCATGTGCACTAAACTATCTATATCACATGCAAATGACTGTATGATGGGCCTGTGGCCTTTTAATGAATAAACTTGTCTGTCTGTCAAACATCAAACATTCACAACAACATATTCACAAGGCGGGTACACACATGTACAGAGCAAAGGCAAGGAAGGATCTAAAATACACACTTGAATGAGGATACCATGGAATACAGGTATTTACAAAATAGGACAATCATACATCTCCATGACATTTCATCTATGTGTTCAGTAACCGGTATTTCACCCCCAGAAAAGAGAGACAGCATTTCATCTTCTGGCAGTAATTCTATTTGTACAGACACATTGACATGAAAAGATCTAAAAGTTTGCAACAGAACTGAGTCCTGTTGTGCATATAATGTTCACAATGTAGAATTATATGGCAGTCATTACAGTGTCTGTCAAAGAATTCACAATATTTTGAAAATGTTGCTCGAGAATTGATTTGTACACAAAATTGTAAGATGTCTCTATATTGTGGATAAACATACATCAAACAATTTAGTCTATGTACACCAAAGGTACAGTGGGTAAGGCGGTATCTGGGCACATCCGGTCTCACACAGACTTGAGTAGCCCATCGTACAGTTTCAGTTTCATTAACAGTTAATAACTATTTTACGCCATGAGGGCTTACATGGAAACTTCCCAATGGTTTAGGATGGTTTGTATAAGCGTGGGGGCGGTGGGGTAGCCTAATGGTTAAAGCGTTGGCTCGTCACGCCGAAGACCCGGGTTCGAATCCCCACATGGGTACAATGTGTGAAGCCCATTTCTGGTGTCCCCCGCCGTGATGTTGCTGGAATATTTCTAATAGCGGCGTAAAACCAAACACAGTCAGTCAGTTGTATAAGCGTGTCACTTAGAGTATGTGACGCTGTTGTTCTATTTTGAAATGTGGCTAATTGGGCACAGAACAAGTCCTGAAAGGAGTATCTGTTGCATTGTCTGCCAGGAAATACAAGTCGACATTTATCTATGTAGCCATCCACACTCCACATACCAAGGTTTCCTAGCACCGAGGCAGATGAAAAACGTTTGTGAAAGCCCTGAATACATCTGGCAAAGTATCTTTGTGCGCTTTCGACCAATTCATAGTCTTTACCATGCAAAATAGGTAAACGTTCACACTCATAGAAGCTTGTGGGGAGTATCCTCCTCCTCCTACATATTTCTACACAGGAGGTAGGATAGAGATCGTTACTATTTAAGCCGAGATTACTTGGGGAGTTTGCAGATTGTCGTGCTTTTTGATAATATGCGGGCAGGTTTTATTTTTGTAATGATAGGGCTGACGGTCGATGTGCCTCACTCACTCACTCTAAGACTGTGAAGACGATGGTCATGACGGAATCACTTTCTAGTCTCCCCCAACAAATCGGTAACCGTCAAACATCATGAAGCATGATGACATAAGCCAATTACACCTTTAAACACAGAGTCTGTGAATCTATACAGGCGCAGTCGTAGAATGTGTATGTGGCAACCACCAATAGTTTGAAAAGGAAATGGGTCACTTCTTACAGTTCACAGCAACACTTATTTTTCAGGACAGACACTTGAAACAAGAACGTTGACCTTCATGATTTGCTATCATGGCTGCTGTTTTCCCAGCCTTGTCTCTGGCGTTAATGTCGGCCATGTTCTGTTTGAGGATGTGCTCCGCCATCTCCATACGACCACCTAAACAGGCCAGATGAAGGATGGTGTGACCCTGGTCCTCCACTAAGTCAGTTCGGCAACCGCTACTAACAAGTACATCAAATGCTTCCCTCTGTCCATAATATGCTGCTGTCATCAATGGTGTCCTTCCGTATCTTCCTCTACTGTTAATGTCCACGATGTCCTGTGATATGATATGCTGAATCATCTTTGCATGTCCTCCAACTGACGCACGATGAAGTATGTTGTCTCCGTGATCATCAACGTATGACACATGAGCTCCTAAACCTACGAGGTACTTAAATAGGTCTATGTATCCATAATATACAGTTATCATCAGAGGTGTTCTCCCTGTCTTTTGTCTGCTGTTAATATCAATACTGTGTTGTGAGAGTACATGCCTTACCATACCCAAATGTCCCCCTCTGCAAGCCCAGTGCAGGATATTGTCGCCTTCATCATCTACTTGTGACACATTAGCCCCCATACCCACAAGAACATCAAATACTTCTCTGTATCCATAATATACGGTCATCATTAGGGGAGTTTTTCCGGACTTGCCTCTACTGTTAATATCAACACTGTGTTGTGAGAGTACATACCTCACCATACCCACACGTCCCCCTCTGCAAGCCCAGTGCAGGATACTGTCGCCATCATCATCAACTAGTGACATATTAGCTCCCATAAACACAAGAACATCAAAGACTTTTCTGTGTCCATGATACACGGTCGTCATCAGGGGAATTCTTCCAAAATTCCCCCTACAATTTATATCAATACTGTATTGTGAGAGAAGGTACTTCACCAGACCCACATGTCCCCCACTGCAGGCCCAGTACAGGACGTCGTCACCGTTAGTATCAACGTGAGACACATTAGCTCCTTTTCTCAGCAGAAACTCAACTATTCTGCTATGTCTCTTCAGTGCCGCCACCATGAGTGGCGTTCTTCCTTTCGTGTCGTCTCTACTGTTGATGTCGACCAAACCCCGGGACAGGATGTGTCTCACTCGACCAAGATCCCCCTTCTTACATGCGTCGTGAAGTGGGCTGTTTGCAGATGCTTCTTTCTGGTTAACTTTCTGTTCTGGAGGTCTCTCGGTGTGCGTCCCATCTGTCAGTATGCATGGTATAATTATTCCAAGACAGCAATATGTTAGCACATTCACGAGAGACAACAGTACAATATAAGAACGGGCTATAGATCACCAGCAACTGAAGGTTGATCACCATACTAAGGAGAGAGAGAGAGAGGGAGAGAGAGAGAGAGAGAGAGAGAGAGAGAGGAGAGAGAGAGAGAGAGAGAGGAGAGAGAGAGAGGAGAGAGAGAGAGGGAGGGAGAGAGAGAGGGCAGGAGAGAGGGAGGGGCAGAGAGAGGAGGGGAGAGGAGCGAGAGAGAGAGAGAAAGAGAGAGAAACACTGTATTTGGGAGACCTAGTCTTAGCGACCCGTGGAAGCATCACACCTACTTCAAACAAGGTGAGGTGAGGTGAAATTGGGTTTAACGTCGTACTTGAGAATATTTCGCTCATATGACGACGTGCATGCGTGTGTATGTGTATGTGCGGCTGGTTTTATAGTGTTAGCCCACTGAGATATCATGCCGCAATGAAGCATGAATACCCCACTCAGACACATTATACTCCGAGCCTTGTTGTACCCATAAATCCCGATCGCCAGGCAGGGACCAACACGTACCATATTTTAACGTCTTTTGGTATGACGCGGTCGGGGATCGAGCCCTCGACCTTCCGCTCTCTGGGCAGACGCTCTAACCACTACACCACGGAGGCGGTCTACTTCAAACAAGAATGATAACTCTATTTCTGTTTAACATCAACAAATACACGCACGTGAGTGTGTTTACATAACGACTAAAATATTTCCATTTGAGCTCGTTCCCTGATGATCTTACAGGCTTGCTTTTGAAACGATGTTACATATGCCTTTCGACATTACATTTTTTTTCGGACGTATCTGGTTTCCCAAGTGTATTTCTTTAAAACTCTTTTGATATGTGATAAGTGGTAAATATGTTTGAGTAAATATATAGCTACGAGTTTCAAAGTAATTACTTCTCTGGGGGTACTTTAGTGTGGTGTGTCACTTAGGTTCCTCAAATTTTATTCAGCATATTCTCTATAAATTCCCATCTGGGGCATGGCAGCATGGATGTCTGCATGTTTAGGCAACTGATATACACCACGTACACCAAATCATGATAGGACTCTCCACGAATTCCTCAGTTTGAGTAACATTGGTTTCCGGTGTTTTGCAACCGGATTCTAATTTGTAACTGTCAATTGATGATTTAATATTTTAAAACTCTCAACCTAGTTTTCAAAAAGATGTGATATTCTATTGTTATTATAATGTGTCATTGTTAAGTAAGATGTAAAATTGATTGACTATTATGGGTCACAAAAGTTTAAAGCGCTGAGTGTGGGTTTGAACTCACACCTTGAACTTAGGCTTAGTAATTTCACCTTTCGAGAGTGAGAGTTACCTCCTCTTACTTCCGGTTTCGGTACGATGTGCTGTGAGTGATTCACGAAGCGCTGAGAAGCTGGTAGTGATCTAAAATGGTCGTAGAGAGGCGTAGCTACTGCTAGAAAAGTCCAGAATTGTATAATAGGTATATAAAGACTGGTTGCTGACATGTTCGACACGACTTTGAGGAGTGCTGTGGATTTACGCTCATCTGTCCTCTCAGCTCGTCTACATTGAATATTCAACCACCATCAACAAACTGCAATCAGTATATCGACAAGAATCAAGACTCTGGTAATTATAGACATTTACCTTGCCCATTGTTTATTCAATATATTATTGAACATTTTATAATTGTCTGTGTTTATTTTGCTGGTTTAAAGGGGACTCACAAACCTTTTGTCACATGAATTCCTAAACCGTAACACGTGATTTTATGCTGTTGAAATATATTTGCTACTTGTCACGACATGGCTGAAATACTGCCAGTGTGACAATACATTATAACCACCTTATTCTTCGGTTCGAGATATTTTAAAGACATGTTGTGTATGTTTGGGGAATTTCCAAAGAGGAAATAGATATTTTTATTACATGTTCAAGAAAAAATCTCATTTGCGATTCTTAAACCGTATTAGAAATATACGTTTGGAAACATGAGGGAAACAGTTGGTAATAATTATGCAAGAATTTGTTTCCATCCTCATTTTTTTGTCAAAACAGGTTTAAGAGTTTTAAAAGTTGCAATGTGCTTGAGTAATGTTCATTGCTGTGGTTCTTGTTTGAAGTAGTCCTAAAGTTCATACGCCGATATGTCATCCTTCCAGAGGAGAACAAGTTAATAATGGACTTGTCCCGGAATAACACGAGTTGGTCAGGGATTAGACCCTCACTTTACCTTAACGGGTGATAGAACAGATCCGGTTCTATCAATCGGCTGGTCATGCAGAGCTATGTGTTGACTTTTTGCTTTGCTCAAATTTCGTTTTTTAAAATGATCATTTCAGGGTGTTGGTCTCATTACTTCATACAACTTGAATTGGTTTGGAAACATCCAGATTGCTTTGTTTGATACTTCTTCTTGAAGAATGTAAAACTGAAGGACACGGTATAATATCACAAACAGCTGGCTACTACTCTGGGTCCTGTTTCACTACACAATACTAAATTTACAAAGGCATTGATGGAAAACAGTGTCATTTACTAAGTACCGCTCGCTTAGAATCATGTGATAACAATGCCACAATATACTACAAATAACATTTAGTGTTCATCTTTGCGTGCTGGAAAACGTGTGTAACTTTATAGGCTGTGGCATTTTCTGGCTGCAAATAGCTGTAATATAGCTGATGCGGCGTCAAGCAATACTAAAACGAGAAGAAAGAAAACCAAAACGTTTGAAACTTTCAATAGCTCATTGGAAAAAATTCTATATATAAAAATATAATTTTTTACACTGTGGCAGAAAATCTCGAGGAAAGTGCTTTTCGCATATAACTGCTTCATGTATGTCTGTATCGCAGTCAACGTTTGTGAAAAGTACTCCATATATGATTCAAAATGCACGTAACCCAGATAGTAGCTCGAGTGGTATCTGACCCATGCAGTGTTCTAAAAGACAAGCCATACCTTGCACACAGACTGATTTTCCAGATCGAGTCTTCAAACATCGTTGCCCAATACTACAAGTCATAGATGCACAGGAACCATTCGAGACCTTCAAAGGGGAGAGTGTAAATATAAAATAGCATTAAACCACTGTATGTCGCACCTGATTCTTTTATTGAATCACATGTGATTATATGAAGCAATAAATACATTTGAAATAATATAAGAAAGAATTATAATGGAGAAGAAGATGTTGGTTGGTTTCTTGTTTAACGCAGCACTATTCCAGCTATATGGCATCGGTCTGTAAGTAAGGAACAGATGGTCCATTGATCAACAGGGTGAGCCAAATTGGGGTTAGATGACACATGCCAACCAAGTCTGCGAGCATGAAAACCCGAGCCCGTCAGTTGCCTCTTACGACAAGCATGGCTTGCTAAAGACCAATTGTAACTCGGATCTTCACGGGTCGATTTTTGTTTAACGACAAAACAAAATTTTATAATGACGTCATTTCTCACATAAGCTGACATTCGCAAATTGATGACGTCGGAAAATGGACGATGCTATTTTAGAGAGTAGTGCCTTGTACCACTTAGATGGACCTGGACGGGGAAAACAGAAAACGATCAAGAAAGATTCATAGTGTTCGTGTCGGTTTTACTTACATTTGAATAATTCTTTGAGAGGTTTGTGTATCCTTCCTCCTTCTCAATCTTCTTGGAGTCATCTCTTGATAAATGGCACGTTAAGGTTTCAATATCATATTGAAAACTCAAACATTGACCATTTTCAGTACATTTGAGCTGGCACAACTTGATTCCAACATTCGTGAAAGTGACAATCGTCTTGGGTCCACATTGCTTTAAGCTTGACGTTGCAAATATACCCATCATAATGACTGTTAATTCTAGTAGTATTTCACAGTCCCTTAAACAGCTTGGTATCATCTTGCAGACCTCACAAAGGATACTCTGCTACAAAAGATGTTTTTGAAGAACTTCCTCGAGGTTGAATGGTCACGCTGAGGCAGACAGTGAGCACAAAGCTGTTGACACCAATGTACGGAAACTACAAGAAGACTGAGATCACTAACAAATGGATGTAGCGTCTAAAGGTCATCACGCGGAACACGGCTTCTACTGTCATTAATATGTAGTGAGAGCCAATCACAGGTGGCCACTGAATGTCAGTGGTGGAGGGACACGCGACATTAAACGTTGTCAGTTTCGTCCATAACAAGACATGTAAACAAGGCACCTGGGCACTTTCAATCACATAGCCATCCATAGCATAGATCACCTGGACCCCCACCCCACCCACTGTGGACCACTGAGTGAGTGAGTGAGTTAACATTTAACGTCACATCGGCAATATCTCAGCCATATCGTGACGAGAACATTTGATATTGAAATGAAATATATGTATATTATAAAAAACCTGCCGACGAAGGACAGTAAAACAACTAGAATATCACAAATATGTTTGTAAAACTAGTAATTAAATCTAAAACGTTTTGACTATAGGGGAAAAACAATACAGTATAAAAATGGGCTGTGGACCACTGACATACTCAAAGAGCAGAGAGCTGTAGACTCCCACCATAGACCAACGACCTATCCGCACCCCATAGCGCTGACCTTGTGACACAATATACCATCGAAGATCACTGACCTAACCACACCCCTGACCTACACACATTGTACACTGCTAACCTTCCAACACCAGACACCACTGAATTACCCACAATGGAGACCATTCGACTACCGACACCGTTGATCATTGACCTTCCCAAAGTGTAGACCATTCACCTACCCACTCAATTGATCATTGACCTGCCCACACTATATAGCAGTAACCTAGGCCACTAAGGTGTAATCAACATTGGTCACTGACGTCACCTTTCTATGGATTACACTATGTCTAAGTTGTTTGTTTAACAAAGGTTTTATGACTTGAATTAAAGACTGCAAACGGTTTGCCTACATCCACTTGCACCTTTCATTTTGTTACATT